TCATGCAGGTGTCGGTCGTCTAGGCTTGTCGCTCTGCTTGCTTCTCCTCATCCTCCTCAGATCTTTCGACTTCTTTCTTGACATCTTGGACCTTGCTCCTATTGGCTTGTTCGCGGTCGAGGTCTTGGAAGACAAGATCGAATACTTCGGTGTACCATCCTACGGCGTGTCCTTCAATACCTTCCTTGATATTCTATCATTGTTTTTTTTGTTAGCCACATATCTTGGTGAGCATGAGAAGTGATAACGTACCTGAGGCAGCTCCAGCCAGTCCGACATGTTGTCCTTGGGGAAGATGATTGTTTTGCAGCCGGCTCGACGGGCTGCCACAGTCTTCTCGCGCAGTCCGCCGATGCGCAGGACCTTGCCGGTGAGTGTGAGTTCGCCGGTCATGGCGACGGTCGGGTCAACGGGTGTATCGAGAGCCAGGGAGAGAAGGGATGTCGCCATGGTGATTCCGGCAGATGGTCCATCTTTGGGCACGGCGCCATCCGGAACGTGAAGATGCATCTTGGCCTTGTCGAAGAAGTTGTTCTCTGGGAACTGCCTGGCCATGAAGGCCTTGGCGAAGGAGTAGGCAATGGTCGTTGACTCCTTCATAACAGACTTCAAGTTACCTGTGATTTCCAGATATGGTCTCGTGCTAGCTCGCAGAGGTGCTTGCAGAATGGATTCAATATACATGGCCGCACCGCCCATTTGCGTCCAGGCCAGGCCCATCGAGACACCGGCCGGGCTTACATCGTACAGGCGGTCCGATGTAAAGACGGGGGGGCCAATGTAATCCACGAGGTTGTCCTTTCCGATTTGAACGTCCACCGAGTCAGGAACCCGCAGTGCTTTCCTCGGCTTTTCAGCCGTCTTGGCTTCGGTTGCTTCGGTGGCCGCACGCGCTTCTTCTGACTTTGCCTCATCGTTTGCCGCAGCCTCCTCCTCAGTCTTCTTCTTTTGGCTCTCTTCCAGTGCTGCTTTGCCTTCGTCAGTCAAGGCTTCCTCCTCGGACAGAACATCCTCTCCCAGCTCCTGGACGATCTTCAAGGCGGACTTCCTATAAACCTTCTCGATCTGCTTTTTGAGGTTACGGACTCCAGATTCACGGCAGTATGACTTGATGAGCTCTTCGACTGCCTCGTCGGTAAGGTTCACATTGGCATCCTTCAGGCCTGCTGCATCCTTGGCCGCTGGTGCCAGGTACGTATTAGCAATAGCCTTCTTCTCATCCGCAACATAACCTGAGAGCGTGATCAACTCCATACGGTCGAGGAGAGGTCGCGGAATCGTGTCCGTCATGTTGGCAGTGCAAACAAAGAGGACCTTGGACAGATCGACAGGAACGTCCATGTAGTGATCCAAAAAGGAGCTGTTCTGTTCAGGGTCGAGTAATTCCAGGAGGGCCGAAGACGGGTCGCCTTGATATCCCCGCCCAATCTTGTCGACTTCATCAATCAAAATCAGCGGGTTTTCCGTCTGGCATTTCTTCAATGCCTGAATGATGCGGCCGGGCAGGGCGCCAACATATGTACGTCGGTGGCCCTTGATTTCAGCTACGTCCGTCAGACCACCCACACTGAATCGGTAGTATTCCCTGTTAAGAGCTCGGGCAATTGACTTTCCAATGCTCGTCTTTCCGACACCGGGAGGGCCAACAAAGCAGAGAATCTTGCCCTCCACGGTACCACGCAGTTTTCCTACAGCAATAAACTCGAGAATTCGATCCTTGACATCCTGCAAGCCATAGTGGTCTTCATCCAAGACCTTCTTGGCATTGGGAATGCCAAAGTTCTCAGGGCTTCTGCGTCCCCAAGGAATCTGAGTAAGCCAATCAAGGTAGTTTCGCGTAACATTAAACTCTGATGCGGCGGTCTCCAGGTGAGCAAGTTTATTGATCTCCTCGTCAAAGACCTTCCGAACAGGGTCAGGCATAGCCAACTTGGAGGCCTTCTCCTTGAACTTTTCGACCAACTTGTCTTTGCCGTCGGATTCCAGGCCCAATTCGCGGCGAATGCCCTTCATCTGCTCCATAAGCCAATACTCTCGCTGGCGCTTGCTGATCTTGCTCTCAACATCCTTGGTGATTTTGGACTGTAATTGGGCATTCATGAGTTCCTTCTTGAGAACAATTAGGGCTTTCTGCATTCGCTCCTCAACGTTCATGCAGGAGAGGACATCCTGCAGTTCATTCTGCTCCCCAGATGATACAGCAGCAGCAAAGTCGGCCAGTTTCCCGGGCTCTGAGGTGACATTTCCAGTAGATTGGCTCATTGAAAAGGTCGAAATTTGATCACGGAAGAGGTTATTCATGGTAGCAACCTCCTTGAAGACATTGACAATTTCGTTGGTTACAGCGCGAATAACGGGACTTTTGGGGTCGTAAGGTTCGTCAGCAAGGTTATCGACATTAACAAGACTCACGGGCCAGCGTTTCAACCATGAAGTTGGCTCGTATTTTTCGGCGACCTGGTCTGGTTTCTTCTCAACAGCCCCTTCCTCAAAGCTGGCTACAACGTCGCCTTTTTTCTCCTGCTGTGCATCTTCCTCTCCGGAATTTTGCTGCGGAATGACTTCTGGAGTATCGGGCTCCTGTTTACCGTCGATTTTCTCAGCCGCACTGGGCGGAACCAGACTGGAAAGCTTGATCCGGCGATGGGGGTAGAGAATGGCCGTCAAAGCGCCCTCTTGTCCGTGGATGGGAAATGCGCTTGTGATCTGAGCAAAAACGCCCACGTCGTGTACGTCTTCAACGTTGCGAATAATGTCCTCGTCCTCGTTTTCGTTCTTGAACAAGAAAGCGCCAACGTATGGCTGCCCGCGCTTGATAGACTCGGTGATGGCCGAGGCGACGTTGGGATCCTTGATGGTAATGGCCTTGTAGAATCCTGGAAACAGCGGTCGCCGCGCGATAGGGATGGCGAGGACTTGCGGATACACTTCTGGCACAACGGGTTTCTGTAGAGCCTTTTCCGAAGATTTTCTTCCCTTCTTGCCACCATCACCACCAGAGCTATCACCCCCTGAGCCTGAACCGCCCTCTGCCGAGCTTCCTGCCGCACCACTGGACTTTCCATCTTGTGATTTACTACCGGCATCAGCTTTTGCTGTCGAAGAGTCCGACTTGGCGTCTGCTGCAGCTCTCTCTGCATCCTTCTTCTTGTTCCCCAAGTTTGCCTTGACCTCCTCTTCCGACAGCGGTTCGGTAAGGGTCTCGGCCGAAGAGTCAAAGAAATCGTCCTTCTTGCTCTTATCGTCCTTTTTTCTTAACCTCGCAGTCGTAGAAAAGGCGGCTCCGACCAAGCCGGGCCGAACGCCGGGCAGAGTGGATCGGCAGATATGGCGACTATGGCAAGCAGGTGACAAAGCCCATGTTCGCGATATTGACGAAGTAGATGTTCGAGATGCGTGCGCCGCAGATCGCTCGAGAATGAGTCGCCCACAGAGGCGAGACCGGGGAATCATGGCTGAACGGCTAGGAGCTCCCTTTCAGCTATCACCAAGCTCGGATGTACGAGCTGGGTCCAGTGGCAACGCCGAGGCGATGAAAAGGTTTCGGCCAGAAATAAGGCGCTAAAAGACGAATTGATGATTGAGAGGCCGAGGATAGACTCTATCACGACCGACTTATTCTTGCTGTCCTGAAAGTTGCCTTGCACATTGCCGCTGCGGACGACACGGACAAATGCGAAATTGGCCTGATGATGACGACGGTGGGCGAGACCGGCGGGCACGACAATGGGCCAAAAATTCATGGTGCTGGGAGCTTCCATCGGCAAAGCCTCGGCAATTGTCTGTGAGTCGCGCGCGAGATGTCAAGTCGTTTTGGACGATAACTCGGCCAAGTGCATACACGCAAGGGCCCCTTGTACTAGCTACCCTGCAGTGCAGTGCAGTGCAGCATTCGCAGCGATGCGATCATGGAAATGTCCCATGCGGCCTCGGTTTCGGGGCATCAAAGCAAGAGTAGACTTCTGTTTCTACCAAATTATCAAGGCGTCTAACCGTTTACGAGCTCAACACACTCGCAACTTTTGAGCTGCAAATGCTCGACCACCCGACTTACACAGCCGCTGGCCAAGGCGGCCTCCAAGTGGGGTGAAGGAAGTTAGTCGAGCAGGTTTCTTTTCCAGGCAGACATCCCTTCTTCGACGTCTGGTTTGTTAAGTACTAGTTTCACGTTTCAAACAAGCTGTCGAAAGCCCTGTTGAATGATACATTGTGCGAGTAGATGCCCATATTCACGCCATTCCGCAGCCCTCCCATCTTCATAGTCGGTCCGCCTCTGCCACCATGTCCTCCACATCCCGCAAGAAGGACAAGGTGACCGAGTCTCTGTCAAACCTAACCCTGGACACATCCAAAAGCAACAAGAAGGCTTCAAAGCCCAAGAAGAAAGCTGCAGTCGCAGACTCATGGGAGGACAATGACGAGTCGTCCGGATCTGAGAACGAGCTCAGGCCCTCGGTAGCGAGCCCAACGGTCCCATCAGCACCACCACCAACCCCATTCGCAGCCAATTATGCATCTATCCCGGGATGGGACGATGCTGGGGCCCATGCAAGCAACTCTCCCTCTGGAGCGGATTCGACAAGAAGGCCGGAGAAAACCGATGCCGTGGCCCGGCGTATGATCGCTGCTGGCTTGGGCATGAAAGCCCCCAAACAGACAGAGGAGCAGAAGGCCTATCAGAAGTCCATCAGAGAGCAAGAGAGGAAGAAAAAGGAACAGGAACGCCAGGAGGAGCATCGAAAGAGGATGGAGGCAGACAAGGCTAAAGCTGCCGTCTGGGATGACTGAACGAGGCATGCAACCATCGAAACGTCACGAACCTGTTGTACATACAATGTGCGTACTACATAGTATTTTCATCTCCCTCTTGAAAAGAAAAAGGGGCCAGTCTGTAGGTCCTATCTAATCCGATATGATCAACACGTCATGCAAGCCTCCATCTATTTCCGTCCGGTCCCTTGAACTATTCATCGTTTATCGGCGGACTGACTGCCTTGTTCCTACAAACCATATACCTTCCTGGCGGTAGACCAAGCGACCAAACGATTGTGCCAACCGGAAAAGTTGGGGTACTTGTCGGCTTTCCACTCGGCCAACAAGCCGTTGGAAAAGCCCTCCACCACACTATCCCATGGGGTAAAAACCAGATCGGCATACGTGCTACGGGGAGATTGCCAGCAGGACTCCAAACCCAAGACTCTCTCCAAGGCATTGCGACGCCCATGACGTACAATTCGTTGCCAACAAGGTACTCTTTCCCTTCGAGGATACTGTCCAAAACTTGCGAGACTCGCAGGGTCTGCTCGTCATGTCGCTTCTTGGCACTGGGGAGGTCCTCTGGGTGAAACTTGCGGAACCAGACGTGCTGGCCAAAGTATGGCCCCTGTAACGATTGCTTCATGTTAGATATTCCCGTGTACATGGATTTAGCCTAGAACTGGCCCGGCACAATCAGCTTGTACCTGTCCAGACAAATGAGGACCTTGAATTGGTTCGGTCCTTGACCTGCCGCCGTGTACGTGTGCGCTTGTTGCTGGTGGCTAAAAGACAACATACCCTTGATCCGGACGGTAATGGGAAATTCCAAGCTGTTGCGAACGGAGTTTTTTTTCTCACTTACATTGCGGTCTGTTTCGTTTATTATAAGATTTGCTATTGAGATGCCTCTATGCCACTGTTTTGCTGGATGACTATACGCCTTTATATATTTCATCTTCTTGTTCGTTCTACTTGTCTAAACTCGTGGAGCTGAAGCCGAATCTCAGTCCTCTTCTCATCCTCATACTCAGCATCTGAGATTTGGTTTAGCTTGGTAATAAGCTCTCCGAAACCCGCTCATGTGCTTAATTCCAAGTCCATCTTACCTGACTCCAGGGCACATCTCATTCCTGAGCGGACTCGGAAACCCAACACAACATCAGAATACCCTATCCCTTTAAAAGGCCATGGAAATCGTGACACAACGAATCCTGCGCTGTGATTCAAGGGTGGCGCTGATACCGCGCGCGGTAGATGGCTAAACCAACTTAATGTTGGTGAAGGATGATGCATCATGACCGACCGACCAACCTGAAGGCCCAAAATAAACTACCTAGGCGGGTAGCTAGTTAGTGAGACACACCATTTTAGATGGCCCGGCGCAAGCCGCTAGTTATCCGTCACATCTCGGGTTCCCGCGTGGTTGACATCAAATCGAGCCAGGCCCGGACAGCTATTCGTTTGGGACAGCTCTTGAAGCTGGAAGTGGCCGGAACGAATACACGAGATTTACAGTGGGTATTCTATAATACGTTACATGTCAAAAAGTACCCCAAATCACTTCTCCTCCAACAAAGGTATCACAGCGCCATTACGCATCAACACCAACTCATCCTTGTCGTCACCACGCCTCACAGAGACGCTATATCCATCAAGACCCAGCTCCTCGGCGCACTGATTCCATATCATCTGCGACACGATGCCCTCTTTCGAGCAGCACATGTACACCATTGGCCACTTGCTTCTCCCCAACGAATCGCGGACCCCCTTGGTCGCAGCCCGCTCACTTGCGAGCAGGCCCAACACTCCCGTGCCTCTCCATCCAACAGGCGCGCCGACAAAGGCGCCTTCTAGTTCACGAATATGTTGTGGCCCGACGCGCTGAGTACCAGCTTTGCACTGCACGAGGACTCTAAATGGTGCTGAAGGAGACGACCATGGAAGCGTCCACGTCCCTACTAAATCCGTGCCATAGTCTGACGAGCCGCCTATCCGCTTCAAGAAGAAGCCGTATTTGGCGAGGGTGCTGGATACTTTGTACTCGTAGTGGGTGCCGACATAGACGGTGGAATTTGCGTCCAGGCCTTTTCGACGGGCGTAGGCTATGAAGGAATCGAGATCCGAGTGATTTGTAGTTGGGGGATTGGGGTAGTGCAGTTTGGAGCCTGGTGAGCCATCAGCTGCGCTCTTGGTGTAGCATCGTGAAAATTGAAATGAAGCGCGTTGAATACGTGAAAAGTGAGTGATTTGCCGTCGTGGGCGCACGAATGCGCGTACGACGGGCGAACATTTCAACATGATGCCATCTTCATCATCATGAAGGTAACATGAAGAGCTGCAGCTGAAGACGGAAAGAGCATGCAAGTAGCCAAGGCCATGCATATATCGAGGATCCACCCACCCACACCCTGCCTGCCTGCCTGCCCGCCCCGCGATTGCCCCGCCGCCATGCCATGCTTCAACCCGCACGCCTCCCGACCTCTCTCTCCTCGAGCAAACTTGACCTTGCTCCAAAAAATTCACGCGCACGACACTCCAGGAGACAGGTCTTTCCCACGACAACCCGCTCCCTCGGGCCATAAGCAACCGCCATCATGGGAACCATTCTTCTCCCCCACCTCGTGACGGGCTGGCACGTCGACCAAGCCATTCTCAGCGAAGACAACCGCCTCGTCGTCATCCGCTTTGGCGACCCAACCAACAACCCCGACCTCGACATCATGGACGAAGTCCTCTCCAAAGTCGCGCCCCTGGTTCAGAAATGGGCCGTCATTTACGTGTGCGATATTTCAAAAGTCCCCGACTTCAATCACATGTATGGTACGTTTTCCCACGCCCATGTTTCGGTGCTGCTGGCTCCAAAACCCTCCTTACCAGCCTGTCCCGTGTCCTTTTCTTTAATAAATTTTCAAAATTTACCCGCAGACTGACAGTATAAACAGAATTAAATACCAACGAAGAGCCGTTTGCAGTCATGTTCTTCTTCAGAAATAAACACATCATGTGCGATTTCGGCACAGGTAACAACAATAAAATGAATTTTGTCGAGCGCAATAGACAGGATGTCATCAATATTCTGGAAGCCGTTTACCGGGGGGCTACCAAGGGGAAGGGCCAAGTGAATAGTCCAAAGGGTCAGTTGACTCCCGACTCCTTTTTTTTTTGGCATGGATTGTTTTGGCCAATGCGCGCAGAGACTAACACACCACAACAGACTATTCCACGCGCCACCGATACTAAAGGCCACCACGGTATTTATTTGACTCGAAGCAAAAGACAGGGCAAGGGCGGTTGCTTATTATACCACGATTATCATGATGTACGTTGCTTTTTTTGGGAATCCGGGGTCTGACATCACAAGGGTTGGTCTCCATATAGACGTCCATGTCTTTATTTATGCTAATTTCATGTGAGACAAAAAACAAGACGCCGTGGCTATGTACTACATGCGGGCAGAGGCACCGATCCAACGCCCTTGTCCATCTTTTATTGTGGAGTGTCTATCCAACTGCAGCTTTTGTTTGTCGTAAGTATTACAATCGTAGCAAGTCCCACCAAATGTCCCCAACTTGTAACTGCCATCATTTTCTCTTTAATACTCCCTGCGTAGATTTATATCATAACATTCAATATACATTTCAAATCTTCTCTGTTGCCAACCTCAAAGATTATCTCCTGGGCTTGCTATATTTGCTTGAAATGCCTTGTTTGGCATCCTTGGCGTGACCTGTGGTATCGTGGGTTCGCGTAGGGTTTCGTCGCGAGATCTGTTGTCGACTCGTCTCATCGTAGGCCGAGGGCCGGGTTTAGGAGATTTGACACGGCTTCTTGCATCCGGTCTCTCGTCATCGGCGTCTGAAAACCCCGCAGAGAAGTACTCGTCATCAGATCCAACTTCACCAGTCATGTGTGATTGGTATGACGCTGGAGCAGACGGCGACGTTATGGACCTAGAATGAAGTGCTGGTCTTGGTGACATTCCCGCGGTAAATGCGCCGGGGTTCATCGTGTTCGTTGCTAAATCTCTGGAAATACCCAAGGGACGATCGATGAATCCGTTTTGAAAAGCCGTCGTGTTTGATGCCTCGTGAAGAATGGGCAAGATTTGCTCATCGTAAAGCTCAGTGCCAGATTCAAAAGATTCCGGCGAAAACTCGGTGACGGTGCGAGATGACCTTCCATCCTCGTCTGTGGTGGGGCTTGAAGGCTCGTCGAAGAAGTCATCCAGGCTATCCAGCTTGGTGACCAAATCTCCCACAGGAACCTCAGCGCGGCCGTCGTCCGAGAGCATCGTGTCTGTTCTCTCCATAGAGTCGAAATAACCGTACGGAAAGTCGTCCTCGTGAAACTCGACTTCCGCAGTTGGGGTGGCCTCAGTCGACGAGCCCTCTGTGCTTTGACACATGTAAAAGGCAGCATGGATATTCGCCCGGGTCGCGTCTGTCTTACTCGCGGGCACCGGGATTGCCCAGCCGGAACACTCGGGGATACCAAACAGACTTGGGGTGCGCTCGTATTCTTTGCGAACAGCTTTTGAGGTAGACCGAGTCATAATCATTCTTAGATAGTGCTTATCCATGTGACTGCCCGACATGGCCATGATATTGTCCAACACCTTTAATGCACCCACGCAAAATTCTGTTTGAAGAAGTCGCAACAGGGGAGAGATGAGATCGGAGCCATGGCCCGCAAATTCTGGATTGCGCATGTCAACTTCTGGGATGGCAACACACAGTATCCGCATAGTTTGCACTTTGACCCAGGACAGTGAGTTTGTCAGTAGTCCGATCAAGAATGTGATCATCTTGAAATCTTGCTGTGGTAAGAAATGCTCTCTCAACGCTATAAAAAGTTGAGTTAGGTACTCCCCACTGTCCAATTGTCTTCCAGAAGTATAGTCGTCAAGGGCTTGTGCAATGGATTCAAGACCCAGTCTATCAGCCTCAACTCGAAGTAGCTTTGCTGTCTTCATAGTTTTTTCTGTTGGCGATGCGTTTTCTAGCTCGTTCAAGAAGCGAGGGAAGTTCGCCAGCAAGGCGAAGAACAGTCGGCTATCATCTCCAATCAGAGGGTCCGCAGGAAGTTTGACAAGTTTATCAATCGTATCCAGAGTCGGTTGCCAGCACAAAGAAGAGCGGAGACCATTGTACAGCAAGGGCTGGATGCCGTCAAACTGACCGTCCCAACGTTCTGGTTGGCCGTCCGCAATGATCCTTCGCACATTTGGCAACCTGAAGTCAAGCTTGCTAACAAGCTCGTTTAACATTTCAACGGCTTCGAGGAATTCCCGTTCATTGATAGATTCTAAGCAAGCGCACGTCGTCCAGAACAGCTGTGGGAATGTCAAAAGCTTTTCGGAATCCAGCTTCACCAGTAGTGTTTTCAGCGTGGTCAATATCTCCATGGAGAATGACTGAATCTCGGGGTCTTCATCCGCAATAGTATTCGACAGCCGAGCAAGCATATCACCAAGCATATACTGGTCGATAGATGTCAAAACGCATCGAAAGATCTGGAAAGACCGACAGGCCAAGTGTCTCACAGGACAAGACGTGGCCCATGTGAGAGACAGCCGGCCCCATTGCTCCTTGATTGCCGGAAAGGTGACCTGAAACGTCTTGACTACTTGCGAGGTGAGGTATTCCATACTCGGAGGGACCTTATTGCCCTGATCATCCACCTTTCCGTTGCTATCCTCATATCCCCAAACAACAGTACGGTCATGTCGACGAATTGCGTCAACCAGGTCCTCGATGAACTCCTTTGCGACATCAACCGAGACATCGTCCAAACGCGAAATGACAAGTTCATGAATCAGATGAACCAACATCTCTCTGGCCTGCTCTTGCACAAGAGGGGTATAGTGATCCCACAGTACAGTAACTACTTGGAGAAGAAGGGGAACATTGTCAGGCGTGAGATGAACCGGAGATACCATTAAGTCGACCAGTAGGATAAGCGACAGTTGGCCGAGAGAGAACCCGGCTTGTTTTGTCCCGACTGGCAATGCTTCATTGAGATCCGCGCAGTAGGGGAAGCCGTTGATATCAGGAGGTGGCGGTATTGATTCCCGCTTCTCATTTGGTACCATGGCCTTCGGATTGATCTGCATCAACAAGAATTCGACCACTTTGATTCCCGGTGTGCTATTTGTTGTTGATAAGAACACCACAATCTGTTTCACATATTCCACAAAATTCTGTTCTCGTCGTTCTAAGCAGAGATGCATGATAAAGTCCAAGATTAGACGCACATTCCCTGGGTGTGGCCCAGTGGCAAGGGCCTGCCACAGGGCTTGAACTTCATTGTGCAAGGCTCCGCCTGACTTGATAGTGAGCTCTAGGAGGTTTGCTAGAAGGACATAGGATTGAGCAGTAGGACCGCCATTGGGATCAAGTTTCAGTTCCATTGTCTGTATCCATGGCAAGATTACCGCAATGACATTTCTTTGTGCGACAGGTTGAAGATCTTTGAAATAATAGGTAAACTCTGAAAACACGTGGAACGCGAGTTCTGTATATTGTTTAGAGAGCCGTTTAGATATTTCGAACTGTGCCAATTTGTAGACAGCCTGTGTCTTATCGGAAATGCTGATGTCAAAGTCTTGGATCTTGGAGTTCCGTTGCTGACGTGCCTCGAGGGATCGGAGGACTGTTGACGACTTGGACCGTATCTCGCTCCGGTCATTTCCAAGAGTAAACAGGCAAAGACCAAGGAGCTTATAGAAAGCGCAAGGGTAGTTGTTTTGCTGCTGCAGCACTTCAATGGTGACTGAAAAATAGCTCTCCAGTACCTTTGGCACGTCGGTCACGTAACAGCGGGTAATGCAATGTTCCAGAAGGTAAGGGTATTCTTGGTTATGAATGACGAGATTTCTCAAGGCGCGCTGACCTGTGACGTTCATTCTGTCGCTCCCAGAATTGAAAATCGCCTCTATCCAAGCCAGCATGCGACGCATGTCGAACTGCAATGTAACGCCACTCTCGGTCGTGATGCTTATCGGGCCACCACAAAGCGCTGCCATGGCGCTCAGAGCAGCGGTACGAAGATTTCTCTTTTCGATCTCCATGGCAGCTGAAACGGCTCCTCGTTCACCTAGCGACTGTTGGTTGATCAGGGGCTGTCCCCTTGTATCGACTTGTGTCTGACCTTGATTGGGAGAGAAGCCGCACCAATATTCCATCAGCGAGAATGCTGACTTCCTGGATTCAAAAGTCATCCAGCGGGAGGGGTCATTGGTTTTGTTAATGCCCTCGAACAGAGCTTCCATGAGACCGCAGTAATGACGTCTCAATTTGTGGAACTCATCATCCGATTGAAGATCACCATCCATGAGAAACAACTTCAGGTCTTTTGCATACAAAGTCAAATTGTTCAGGAAGAATTCGGATTGGTAGACCTGAGGGTCCTTCAAGAAGTGCGACGTCAATTTGAAAACGTGAGTGATTTCGGTCCGCAACAAGTCCATTTTTCGGTTGCGGCGAGGACTGCTATTTGTTCGTTGATGAATCCTTGCTCTAGCCTCATCATTGCAGCGAGAGACTTGGCCTTGCAGCTCTTCCAGTAGCGTCCGGTAGATGTGAATATTGATTGAGCCCATGGCAACCACGACTGCATCACGGACAGAGGCTGACGAAACGGACAAGAGCGGAATTAAATACTTGAACAAAGTTCGAGCAGTGACGATCCTGTCGGCGGATGAGGGTTTCGATATTTTGCGTGCATGCTGGCCATCGGGTGGTGTCTGGCCCGTGGGCAGGCTTCCTGGGTCCGCCAACGTTGTGCAGGCAAATATCAAATACAGCTTCCATTGCTCAATCATAACCTCGGGCTGTGCTGCAGGAGATCGGTTGCCCATTCGGCCCACCGCGTCGGGGCCGTAGTACAATCCCCTAGTTGGCTCTGACAAGTAAACAATTGGCTTGTACATCTGCAGTATTCGATTACAGATCAGGTCTCGACAGATGGTTACTGCGAAGGGGCATTTGTCGAACGAAATTCGGATAAGATTGGGGAAGATTTTGAACCAAAGAGTTGCATCGTAGGAAACGTCGCTCGTACATAACTCCACCACCGCGCCTTTGCTGTTGGCGTTTTGCAGTCCTCTCTGCAGTCTGCTACGCTCGGCAACAGAAAGGTGCTCATCATTAAAATTCATAACTTGGTTGGAGTCGTTTTCCAAGATATTGATTAATCGTAGCGTCTCCTTCTCTTCAGAGGCATCTTTGCCCAATGCCTTATCGAACTCGGTAATTAAGCGCAGCACAGTGACTGCGAAGTGCCGAACCCGGCGAGACTGTGAACACAGGAAGAACAAGCCATGTGCTTCGGCCTGATCAACCTCTGCCCATATGCTCGACAAGTCAAGCTTCATGGCCCTTTTCTCTGACGCATTTGAATCTGGTAGGTCTGAGGCTGCTTCTCGTGACTTGTGTCGGATTTCTTCTATCCAGATCTGGAGTAGTTCAACGTAGAGTCGTAAAGTGCTTTCAATGTGTCCAGGCCCGAGCATGCCACCATCAGACATTGTAGCATAACGGTCATCAAAATTGAAGATGAAACGGGCAAACCCCATGGTCACTTGTTGTGCATGAGATTGTCTGGCAATGGCCTTTAGTGAGTTCGCCGATGACTCGGCAATGTTGGACTGGACATGAGCGGTTCCTGTGCAAAGCAAATTAATCAACGAGTTGAAAGGAATGTCAACAGATAGACACCGTGGAAGTGCCTGAACAGCGACATGCAGCAGTTCATAGAATGCTTGTTTCTGGTCTGACGTATTGGGTGGCTCGTCTCGTCGAGAGAACGTAAAAGATTCCGAAATAGGGGTTTTTGGCCCGGGACTGTTAAATTTTTCGTCCAACGCTGCTTGCCCCCCGAAGGTGTTATCGCAAACGATGGTGATTTTACCGAGGATCTGACAAAACTGAAGGTAATACTCTCTGACTCCATCGCTTAGGACATGAGTCAACACCGGTCTAGATATAATCTCCTCCTTTGGACCTGAGCTGGGAGTCGATAGGGGGCCTTTCGACGGGAACGATAGTACTGGTGATGTAGGTAATCTGTCGGCCGAATTTGGAACACCGTAGAATTGTGGGAAAGGGGGCCGACCTTGTTCGCCTTTTTCAAGGTCGGACATGATGCATAGGAATGCCCGTATGCCAACGACAATCCGGTCAGGATCCAACTGATCAACTCGCAGCTCTTTGTTGGTTGTAAAAAGCTCGGCATTAATGAGGGGAAACACCACAGTCCTGAAACAGTACTCGGGATATTTGAAGCCAATAATTCTGATTATTTGGATCAACGGTTCAACAACTGCAGTATCTGAAGAGACTATGCTGCGCTTTGACGGTGGTACAACCAGTCTTATAACATCGTCAAGCTTTCGCACAGTAGTCTGAAAGTTGTCATTAGTCCGGTATAAGTACGTCCAAACCAGCCTGGAGATGACCTGCAAACAGAGAGGTTTGGTAAATCGATCTTTAATTTTAGTCTGCAGGGAAAGGACCAGTTGGAGCCACCCGGAGCCAAAGTTGTCGGGCGATGATACGCAAAGTAAAGTCGCAGTCAAAGGAAATGCAACAGTCCAGTGACGCGGCTTCGCAAACAGCTGAGCAAGCCGAAAGCTAATAGCCGATACCACCTCGGCCCATTTCGGATGCATTAGATGGCTGTTGCTGGCCTTTGCGGCAATGGGCAACAGCAACATGTCGATTACCTGGCAAAACGCTGCCTTCACCCTCTGCCCGTGGGATTTGGCAAACAGACGGCCGAGTGAAACCAGAAACTCGCATGATTTTTCCCAAGCGGATTCTGGGGATATTTTGATATTCAGATGCTTCATGCCACCCAAGACTAGTTCCATCTTTCCCTCAAAATCCCGGCCCGTTGATGAAGTTGGGCTTTTTAATAATCTCTCTTGCAACGAGGCGTCGAGGTCATCGATGAACCTCCGCGAAACTCCGGGAAAATTGATTCCACTCATGTATCCCAGAAGTTGCGCAAACAAGTTCCAATTGGCCAACTTTAACGGCGAAAGCATGAGTTGCTCAGGGTCTGCAATCTTGAGCTGTCCAAAGATAATGCTCTCCAACTTGTCTTCCATTTCCGTGGTGATGGAAGCCAGATTGCTCTGGCAAATAACCTCCAGTAGCACACGGCACAGAATATAAATTGATACCGTCGATCGACGCTCCTGTTGGGAAACAAACTCCTGCTTTCCAGATAATGTTACATTCATGGGACTTGTAGGATCTGCTGCACCCGCACCCGGGCCGGGTTGTAATGGCTCTGTGTTCCTGCGAAGCAGCAGACCTCCTGGTTGGCTGCCACGCAGTTGCTGGAGCTGGATTCGAGCCTCGTTTGCGGCATCACTTTTGCTCTTCCTCCAGAGCATCATCAAGTCAATCAGGGCTTTGGGTTTTGGACTGGCAATGTGCCCCAAAGCCACAATCAACTGATCAAAGGCAGGGTCGACACCAGGCCCGCAGATACGGTCGATGTTCGGTTCGGGATCAAAGGGGACCGTGATGCATTCCGTAAGCTTCTCTTCTGCTTGTGTAATGAACTATATTAATGTTAACACTTTCACAATGACCAAGAACATAGCAGAAGCTAGCGCTTACTGATGTAAATAGAACATGCAGTGCGTAATCTCCCACGGCCTTCTGGTCGTCCCTGTGCGTTCGAGAGTGGGATTGGTGTGTCGGGTGGTCGCGCCTCGACTTGCTCTGCATTCGCTCTGGCTTCCTTTGAGCTGATGCAGGGGGAGATATATCGGCAGCCGAGGCAGATCTTTCCATTGGAATGCCTCCAACGGGGCTGAGGGTTGGACCGGCGAGAGAAGTTCCTGGCCGGGGGGGCATGTTGGCCTCGAGCCGCGTAGTGACTGACTGCATATCCAATCTATCCAGTGCCACTCCAGCAGCGGCTATCATTTGGGGACTCAACGGGCTGGTAGACATGCTTGAGTGACTCCCATTTCTCGAGTGTTGAAAGCCATGGACGATAGAGGTCTGTCGATGGTGTCCGTAGACGGCGGTCTTGCTATGATCTATGGTCCGTTCAATAGCTACGCCAAGGCCTTGTCGCTGGGTATGTCCTCGAGGGGAAGCCACAGCAGATGGCGAGTGTATCGTCTTATCACCAGAGGACTCGCGGGAGTGGGGTTGGTGTCGCGATGGGGTTGTGAAGGTGGTTGGTCGTATCGTCTGGTCCCAAACTGGACCATGATCGGTTTCGTCGTCGAATCTCGCGCCAGGGCGTGCTGATTGTTTCAACTGGTCCTGTGGATTGTCGGGGAGAGCTTGCGACGGGGCTAGAGAGCAATTCATGTTAGCGTGTAACCCTTGTCTCTTGCACTCGTGAGACAACGGGAGGACACGGCGAAAGTGTAGCAGCTAATCGACGAACACCATGACGACGAATGCATTTGTTCCATGTTGGATCACAGCGGCACACGGCAGCAGGCCTTGAATTCCGCGATAGCCTCGTATTGCAGGATGATGAGTGATGAATGATGGAGAAGGCCCCGAAACGACGATGATGGACGACTCACCCATCTCGAATCGGACCACGGCCCAATTCCCAATGGTCTAGCGCTGGGCATGCGTGGCTAAAAGGGCATGGCAGTCAAGAGGACATTCGGTGTCCAACAAGAAGAGTTCGTGCGAGGAAACTAGGCTACACCAGCCCAATTGTGTCCGTAAACGTGGTTGAGCGCAACTCGCGCATTGACGGCCAAAAAAAGATGCCAGTGGCTGCGGGTGTGCACATATGCTGTACGACACGGTCCACGTACGAAGATGGGACAAGCTCCAGTCGAGCTGCACGTTACACACAGTTGCCCGTGGGTGTGGTGCTGAGGTGCTGAGGTTGTTTAGGTCGGATGTTGCGTCAGCTTGAGGAGTTCTAAAGTGTCAATGCTTCTAAACATCAAAATTGTGCTGGTCCAGATGTTCCCTCCAAAGTTGGCTCGATACCCGTTCTAGATAATGTTGGCTCCATACCAGAGGATGGAGTCAATATCAGAGAACTCCCAGGCCCCCCTCTTTCTCCCTTCAACGGTCAAATGTTGGCTGCATGTGGTGCTTGGTGCTGATATTACCCGCCAACAAATCCGATGTCAGTGACCGACGGTAGGGGGCTACGCTTAGTCATTCTACCAGCAGCTGGCCCATCAAGGCCAGGTCGTCAAAGTGTTTCTCCGTGGTTGCTCTGAAGGACGCAGATTATGGCCTCGGACAGGACCACCATCTAGATCTCTTGTAAAAATACATGTACCTACCTACCTAGGTACTTAGGGAGTGTTGCGACGAATGCTGGGGGCCAGGTACTTGTCCATCACCCAGCACTTGCCTGGTAGACCGAACACCCTCATGCATCAATCATGGTGTGTAGCTGGTACATGCTTAGGATGGGCTTGCATCGGTGGCTTGCAGGTATCTCCGCCTTCCTCGGACTATGCTGAGCTTATATGAAAGTAAGATAACTGATGTTTGTATGGCACTCGATGGCTTTGACTTTGGAAAGATTTTAGCGCTGACCAATACCTAGGTCTTGTAGCTGATGTAACTGTTTCAAGAACAGCAGGCTGTGGCTTACGAATTCAAAGGGAAAAGAAGGGAGATGAAGAAACAGAGAAAGAAAGAAACACGCTCGAAGCTATGTGCGAAACGCCGTGTACAGCCTCCATCCGCAAACAGAGAAAAATGCCTGCAGCATCCGCCAACTTAGCTACACCCTTGACGATACTAGGATTTACTCCCCTGTCCTTTACCGTTAGAGGACATATGTGGATGTGAAAGCTTGATGCCATACTTGAGAGTATCCGTACCTACCACCTGCATATCAACTCCCACCGTCACTTACAGGATCCTGTAAGACACGTGCAGACTTTACTCCCCATACCCACGGAAGAATACTCCATCCATGTACTACGTCAGGACTTTGAATTCTAGCTTTTGACGCTTGGGCAATAGCGTTGAAGGTCTCGGATCTGCACTGGGGGTTCAGGGCCGGGAGCCACGCGACAGCCCGCTTGCATAGACTTTGGGGGGCGCAGGACGATTTGTGAAGTGTGTTGTGTCATGGGGAGAGCTGTCATCCCGATGGACAGCCATGATGGAACACGGCAAAGTTGAAGGATGCACAAGATATACAACAGTAAACACTCAGGATCAAGAGAAACTTTCCGCGTTGCGATACAACTCAATGACATAATTGCCGGAAATCTTTACCGTGGTCCCACGCTCCGCGGCTTTCGGAACCAGAACCCCAATTCCGCCAGACGCAGCTTCATGCTCCCACAAGAGGAGCGAATCTCCGTGTGGAGGTGGAGTTAGCCGTGGCTCAGGCACTCTAGCTTCCACCTTTGCTTGATACTGTGCAAGCGTTTGAAGGGAGGGCCAGCGCTTTGAGGCAAAAAAGTTGAGCGATGCACACGACCTAGGAAAGGAGGGGGAGTTGCCGCCTCGCAGTCACATGCGCTCAATCTCTCCATGGACTCCATACCGCCGGAGGCCGTGATGAGGAGAGGCCGAAACGGGTTCCGGGCTCAAGCACACTTCGGGGACGGCGCGAAAGGAAACATTCAGGCAAGGGCTTGGGTGCGCCACAAAGTGGATGAGCACTCGGCGTTAGCAATCGGAATCGTCGGGACAATAGTAAGGCGGTTCAGTGATGCGGAAGACACAGCGCCCAATTGCTAGGATACATGCATCACGTTGTTTGATGGCAACGCCAGGGACACATGGTGCCAATGCTATCGAGTCGGATGTTTGCCACAGTTTATGATTAGTACTACTGTCTTCCTGCGACGGAGCACTACCGAGTTACTTCTTGCTCTACTGCGTCCGAAGCAAAGGGTCGCTTAGCCACGAGGTACTGAGCCATCATCGAGTGTTGTATCTCTGCCCGTAGTGTCAGCCCAGCCACAGAGGCTACAAGGTTGTTGGTCTTTGCGCTGTTTGTATCCCTCTGAATGTGCGCAGGTCCAATTGATGTATTCAACCCACTGCTTTTATGATACTTAAAGGTACTTCATTATTAAGTATAATAAACTAGTATATTTTTATATACTTATGTATCTTTAAAACCTTAGTTACTTATTATTGGCTAGAACCCTGGCCCGTTACAAAAATTGGACATGCGCACATTCAGAGGGATGGAAGAACCCGAATACGGAGCACGGGAACTATCTCCTTCCTGGTCAGATGAGACCAGAGTTGCAGACGAGGCGAGAAAGGCGCCCCCGCAGGTTCCAGGTCAAAAGAGCGGGACTACTCCAAACTCCGTACGAAGCTGGAAGCATGTAGTAGTAAGCGCAGATCTTATGGCTTTTGAGCCAAGCTGACCGGCACCTAAGAGTGGATGATGTGGCCAGATTTTAATACGCGTCTGATGCGCCATGGATCCCAACGACCTGGGCGAGGTCGGCGAGGGCATGGAGGAACAAGCGGCAGTAGGCATTAGGCACGGAGGACGGACTGTCTGTGGTGTACGGAGTATCCGCTTAGCATCTGATTATCACCAGTGTCTTGTGGAGTGGCATGTCTGAACAATGCGGCAAGCACATACTGTGAATTGCGAAGGGCTGTTTTGGTTTATACTGCTTGGCCATGGCCGCCTACATTCTCAACGTCGTCATGTGCCGTTCGCAACGCCGTCGGGAACGGGAACAGTCAGTCAAACAGTCGGCTTTGCTAGTCGGTATTGGAGCGAAGCGGTCGATCTGGCAGGGTCAGGTTCCATTTTTTTCGGAATAACTCTGCGTGATCAAGTTCTGGTCCAAGAAAGTGGCTCAGGGCTCAGCCGGGCCTGGGGCCTTGTTGCCTGTGGCTCCATGTCCGGCCACTCGACGCTTCCTGCTCCAGTCCTGGTGCTTTACTCCGTGCCACCAGACCAGACGGCTGCCACGGCTACTTCTAGAATCGAATCCACTGAATCAGGCCAGACCCCTCCGAATTTCACCAAAACCCGCCGACAACCGTTTTGCACATGTGTCTCAAGCTGCGAGCCACTTTTACATTGCCCTTTCCCATTGCCTTTTACGTCTCTTAACCCTCTCGTCTGTCGCTTCGGTCGAGAAGGCTTTCGTCTGGCAAGTGGCAGCGGCCAGCTGTGTGATTGTTCAATCGATCCCTATCTTCTGGCATCGTCTAGTTTGCTCACCATGGCTGAATTCGACACTCTCGACATCGTCGTCCTCGGCGTCATCCTCCTGGGAACCATTGCCTACTTCACAAAGGGCACTCTTTGGGGCATCACCAAGGACCCTTATGCCAATGCCTTTGCCAATGCCAATGGCGCAAAGGCTGGGCGCTCCCGCAACATTCTCGAGAAGATGGACGAGACTGGCAAGAACTGTGTCATTTTCTACGGATCTCAGACTGGAACCGCCGAAGACTACGCCTCCCGTCTCGCCAAGGAGGGCAAAAGTCGCTTTGGCCTGGAGACCATGGTAGCTGATTTGGAAGAGTACGATTTCGATAACCTCGATGCCATGCCTAGCGACAAGGTCGCCATGTTCATCCTGGCCACCTATGGCGAGGGGGAGCCCACCGACAACGCCGTCGAGTTCTACGAGTTCATCACTGGTGACGACGTTAGCTTCTCCGAGGGCAGCGACCCTGCGCTGCAGAACCTCAATTACGTCGCTTTTGGCCTGGGCAACAACACCTACGAGCATTATAATTCCATGGTTCGCAACGTCGACAAGGCCCTCCAGAAGCTCGGCGCCAACCGCATCGGCGAAGCCGGCGAGGGCGACGATGGCGCTGGCACCATGGAAGAAGACTTCTTGGCCTGGAAAGATCCCATGTGGGCTGCTCTCGCGGAAAAGATGGGCCTTGAGGAGCGCGAGGCTGTCTATGAACCTACCTTTGGCATTGTTGATCGTGAGAACCTAACCGTTGACTCCCCTGAAGTATATCTCGGCGAACCGAATAAGATGCATCTTGAGGGTACTGCCAAGGGCCCCTTCAACTCCCACAACCCTTATATTGCACCAATTGCCGAATCCCGAGAGCTGTTCTCCGCCAAGGACCGAAACTGCATTCATATGGATGTTGATATTAATGGCTCTAACCTCTCCTACCAGACTGGTGACCACATTGCCATTTGGCCCACTAACTCTGGCGATGAGGTTGACCGATTCCTCGATATTATTGGCTTAAAAGAGAAGAGAAACAACGTCATCAGCATCAAAGCATTGGAGCCCACCGCCAAGGTTCCTTTCCCAACCCCGACCACCTACGATGCTATTGTCCGATACCACTTGGAAATCTGCGCGCCTGTTTCGCGACAGTTTGTCGCGACCCTGGCTGCATTTGCT